AAACAGCTTCAGGTTTCTGGAAGCTACTTTACTGCTATCTTGTGAATAGTCACACGCTGGCTTAGTAGTTAGCACTTCAGCACTGGGGTCTCTGGTTCAAATCCCGGCCAGGACAAGGTCTACATGGAGTTTACATGTTCTCCCTGTGCTTGCATGGGCTTCCTCCCAAAGACATGCTGGTAGATTAATTGCCTTGGGTCTAAATTGGCCCTAATATGTGTATATATTGTACAGGGATGTTGAATTATTTTCGCCCGACACCGGGAAAATGTAGTTCCGGGTGTCGGGCAGATAGCTTTTTATTACCTTTAGCCCTACACAGTGTCAGCATCCCTCTCCCCATGAGGCGTCCCGGGCTTTGCTTGCCCATCTGCGGGCCTGGGTCTGGCTCACTGACTGCTGTCGGCTACAGAGGAGGATGGAGAGTGAAAATGTCCACTCCCCTCCCCTTCTTGTCCTGACCCGGAAGTGATGTTATGATGTCACTTCTGAGTCCCCGTTGAGAGATTCCCGGCTATGGAAGTCGGGAAAGAATGTAATGCGGTGCGATGTGCACTGCATTACATTCAGTGTAGCACAGGGGAGACATCCAGGGTCTTTTAGAACCTGGATGTCTCAATAAAGAGACCCTGTCACCAAAAATCATCACAGAGGGGATTTTGTCCCCATGTGATGAAAACAAAAATAAAAAAATGTTTTGTTTTCATTGTAAACAATGAAAGTTACACCGTAGCACATACCATCCTCCCCAAAAAATTGAGGCCCCCACACCCCCACATATACGCACGTACAAGTGTAAAAGCATGTACTGGGGCGCCTACGAATGAAAATGTTGATTGTGATATATTGTTACATATCATCGCGCATGGCAGAATGAGAGCAATAATTCTAGCACCAGACCTCCTCAGTAATGCTAAACTGATGACCTATAAGGAGCTTTAAAAGTGTCGCCTATAGAAAATATTGGGTACTGAAGTTCGTTGCCATTTCATGAGCTCGGACAAATTTAAGGTTTGATAAGTTGGATATCTATTTACTCGCTGCAACCTCATCTTTTATATTTTACAAAAAAAGTAGGGTAATTTATTGCTTTTTTGCACCCTAAAATGAACTTGTGTTTTACTGAAATTTTGCTGTAACATCATGTGACATAATAAATTGGAACTACCATTATTTTATTCTCTAGGCTCTCCGATTTCAGAAAATATATAATGTTTGGGGGGGTTTATGTAATCTTCAAGCCTAAAATGATTTTTTAAACATGTTCAAAAAACGCAAAAACAGCTCTGGCAGTGAAAGAGATAAAGGATAAGCCTGACACTCCCCATTCCTGAGGAGCAGCCAATCGGTGCTCATTACACTGCAAGGTCTCTCTCCTCCCTGCTAGTCCCTGGGGGTGGGGCTGGAGACAGGAAGGGAGGGGAGGGGAGGAGAGGAGGAAATAAACAGCGCAATGTTAAAAATATTAAACATTTACGTCGTCATAAAGCCCCTTTTGTTTTTAAAAGCCCCGACATTACTACAATCACCTCCCATTTAAATACGGTTTGGTTAAAATATTTATTTATTTTTTTTATCAGGACAAGTAGATTCTCATGAGTGACAACTAGATTGGGACCCCGATTTATGCAGGCCATAGACGGGTCGAAAACCGGCCATTTTAAAAAAAAAAGAAAAAAAAATGAGTCATTCCATAGGCTGACGTTACCACCAACGGTAAAAAAAATTGGCCGATTTCTGTCCCGTCTACGGCCGGCATTTAATTACTTCTGTCCCTGCAGAGAGCTCCGCTATTACATTTGACATGAAAAAGTATTGAGGTTGCAACATTGTATCTATTTGTATCCATTTCGGATACAGATGTTTTTATTTGGATACAAATAGATACAATGTTGCAACCGCTATACTTTTTCACGTCAAATATAATAGCGGACTGGAATTCTTATTCTTTTTCTTCTTTTTCTTCTTCTTCTTCTTGCAGGTCACGGCTCATGCGCAGATTTTTTATCAGTAAAAAGATCAGCCAATTTGCCCATCATTGCCGCGAAAATCAGTCGATTGGCAAAATCGGACGATTTTTTTCCAACTTTACCGATAAAAAAAATGTGCCAAAATCCCGAAAAAAAAAAACGGCCGACCAATTAAACCCACTAACGGTGCGAAAATCGGCCGATTTTTGACCCGTCTATGGCTTGCATTAGTCCCTGGACAAGTAGTTTTTTTTTTTCAAAAATGTCCACACCCTTGCTGTATTCATGTGAGAGAGACACCTTATACCGTGTTGATGACAGGGACAGATGTGAATGTACAGTATGCCTAAGGCCGGCCATACATGCTTCGATTTTCGAACAATTTTTCGTTTGAAAATCGGACCTAAGTATTTTCGCTCTGTTAGTGGGGCAATGGCACCGGACGATTTTCGTGGCTCCTTCCCATTTCGTTTATCGGGTATGCTGGAAAATTTGTGAAAAACGATAGATTTTCTAAATCATTGCTGGCACCATCGGATTACAGAACGAATTATGTTTTTGATTCGATCGAAAAATCGTTCGGAATTCAACCCACATATGGCCTGCTTTAGTTGTCAGCACTATTTAAAAACATGCAGTCGAGCTGTAAACGTAGCAGACAGGAGTGCACACATGCGGTATTGCCAACTGAATCAGGTCATGCCCCATTCACATGATTGGTTCCCAGTGCTGGCTTCATTGTAGAGGAGGGATAGCTGACAACGGATGCCAGGTAATAAGCCTGTGGGTGTCAAATAGGTTGTTAGGTGTGAAAATAGGCGGTGAGGAGGTGACAAAACGCCTACTCACTGCCTGTCAAGCTCCCTCTAAAAAGCAATCCACTGTGGATCACTCTTCAGAGAGCATGTGTAAATGAGCTGTAAGAGTCAAGTCTGCAGCAGCTTTTCAACCACCTAATATTGGATCAAAGCTGAGAGGCAACAGAGAGTCTTGTGACTCCTATTAGTAACAGTAAATCCTAAATTCAACTTTGCTGCTGAATACACCCTCAGGAGAGAAATGATAAGCAAACACAAATTTTGAAGGAAATGTGAACCCAAACTGAATGGTATTTAGTTTGCTAAAGCCTTTAGTATCACTTCGTATTTTATTTTATTTTATCTTTAAAATATTTATCATTTTTCATGCTTTGTTGCATCCCATTGTCACTGATCTCCTTCAGCCTCTTTGCAGCCACTTCCTGTCTACATGTACTCCAGCAATTGTTGATGGTCACAACAGTGGACCATATTTATACAACATGTATTGTCACAGCCATTAGTAAAGCAGGTGTCATCACAGGAGCGCAGTTGCGGATTTCGAATGTTGTCACCCCATAACAGGAAGTGCTTGCACAATGATCTTCATGGCAGGATCACCAGGGATTATTTAGGAAAAAAAATGCAGATCTAACCTCTTCACACCCAGCGTACGCAAATATGCGACCTCTCAGTGGCTGGGCCTTGATGCCGAGCGGCCGCATATTTGCGGACCATTTGTAAACAAACATCCGATCATGTGACTGCCGTGACAGCTAATCACGGTGGTCACATGACCCTAAACCCCGCCCCCATCCTACCTCTCAGTGTCAGAAACCCCTTAGCCACTTGCCGACCGCAGATAGCCGAGTGACGGCTTCACCGCAGCCGGACAGTTCTGGTTGCTGGGCATCAGTGTTGCCTAACAGTGTCACCCATCAGTGCCAAGCAGTGCCACCAGTCAGTGCCACCTATTAGTGGCCATCATTGTTCCATATCAGTGCCAGCTCATCAGTGCTGCCTATCAGTGTCCATCAGTGCCGCCTATCATTGCCCATCATTGCTGCATATCAGTACCAGCTCATCAGTGCCGCCTATCATTGCTGCCTATCAGTGTCCATCAGTGCCGCCTATCATTGCCCATCATTGTTGCATATCAGTGCCAGCTCATCAGTGCCGCCTATCAGTGCTGCCTATCAGTGTCCATCAGTGCCGCCTATCATTGCCCATCATTGTTGCATATCAGTGCCAGCTCATCAGTGCCGCCTATCAGTGCTGCCTATCAGTGTCCATCAGTGCCGCCTATCATTGCCCATCATTGTTGCATATCAGTGCCAGCTCATCAGTGCCGCCTATAAGTGCTGCCTATCAGTGTCCATCAGTGCCGCCTATCATTGCCCATCATTGTTGCATATCGGTGCCAGCTCATCAGTGCTGCCTATCAGTGCCTGTCAGTGCTGCCTATCAGTGCCCATCAGTGCTGCCTATCAGTGCAGCCTCATCAACGCACATCTGTGAAAGAGAAAATTTACCTGTTTGCAAAATTTTATAATAGAAACAAAGAAAAATGTTTTTTTCAAAATTTTTGCTCTTTTTATGTTTATAGCACAAAAAAAACCCAAAAAAAACACCCAGCAGTGAGTACATACCACCAAAAGAAAGCTCTATTTGTGTGAAAAAAATAATAAAAATGTCATATGGGTGCAGTGTTGCATGACCGCGCAATTGTCACTCAATGTGCGACAGTGCTGAAAGCTGAAAATTGGCCTGGGCAGGAAGGGGGGATGAGTGCCGGGAGGCGCTGGCACGAAGGGGATAAATATTGAGAATATGTTTTGAAGGGTCTTTAACATGTTACAGTATATAGGAGATTTCAGTGATTGTGTTTTAATATTATTTAAGCATCATTTTACCCTCTCCCAGGGATGACAGGTCCACTTTCATTTGTATTAGCTCAACCGAATCATTTTAATGTCAGTATGTTTTTCATTTGGCATTCCGCCTGACACCTCCGGTGATAAATTCTGACCTACCTGCTGTGCTGATAGATGGAGTGACAGCTGACAATGTGCAAACCAATATTGACTTTACGAGAGTGACTGTTGTTTATGGAGTCACATGTTTATTTCATATTTCATACGGGATGCAGAATTTAAAACGACTTTCATGCTGCCTGAAAGGCTTTTATATCTATCACAGATTATTGCCGACTTTAAAGTGTTACTAATCCCAGGACCCTGCATTCACTATATCTGGTCTCCCTGGACCCTGCATCCACTATATCTGGTCTCCCCGGACCCTGCATCCACTATATCTGGTCTCCCCGGACCCTGCATTCATTATATCTGGTCTCCCCGGACCCCGCATTCACTATATCTGGTCTCCCCGGACCCCGCGTTCACTATATCTGGTCTCCCCGGACCCTGCATTCATTATATCTGGTCTCCCCGGACCCCGCATTCACTATATCTGGTCTCCCCGGACCTGACCCCGCATCCACTATATCTGGTCTCCCCGGACCCTGCATTCACTATATCTGGTCTCCCCGGACCCTGCATCCACAATATCAGGTCTCCCACCGTACACATAACATGGAAATGCAATTATTTTATTAAATATAAACTAAATACCTTTTCTCATCAGAAGTTAGAGCAGTCTTGTGACTTCAGCAGAGCACTGGTTAAAGCTTGTAGGAGGAGTTTTTACCTTGCTCTAGGAGGATGCAGAATCCCTGACCTCTGTCTGGACAGTGCTGATTGGCCCTGTGCTGATCACATGCACTCTCCCAAGAAAAAAAAAACCTCTCTAGCAATACACACTAAACTGAGCTTGTGCAGAATGTCTACGGTTCAGTCTGTCTTATCAGGAGATAAGAGAGGGACATTTGAACAAGAGGAGAAGCAGAGAAGACAAGATCAAACAGCATTTTTACACAATGCAGAGGATTAACCCCTTAGATTCCACAGTGAGCATAACAAGCATGCTTTACTGCATATACAGACTGATTTTACGGTTGTGGGCTTAGTAACACTTTAAAGTTGACCGGCTGAGAACGTTGGAAGCCATTGGCATGAAATGGGTGATGAATTTTTAGCCCTGACTTATCTTCACTGTATCTAATTGGTGTAAGACTGGGGGTTTTTTTTGGATCCGGTGTTGGGTGAAATATATATGGTTGGCTATGCTACATGTTAAAGTAGCATTAAGGATTACCATATGTTAGTAGCTAGGTTAGCTTGGTGCTGGGGTCAGGGTTAGAGGTGGAACTGCTCGTGTATGTGACGGTGGGATAATATTTTCTGCATCTACAATGCTTTGCCATGTGACCCCCTGCCTCTGCTGCATTTGCAGATTAAGATAGGGGGTTGGAGGGGTGGTAAAAACCAAGCTCAACCATGTGATTTTAATCCCCCTCCTCCCCCAACAACAGTTCTAACTATCCCTCTAGGTTACACCTTTTGACGTGTTTTTTTCGTGCAGCTGTCTTTTGTCTTGAGGCTACTTTGTTTCCTGCTGTTCCCTCTTCACAGTTTGGCACTCGCCCTTGAGATTTCAATTCCCCCCCAGTTCCCCCCCACTGTCAGAATGACCGCCACAGTCCCGCTATAAGTCGGTGATCGCCGCCATTACTAGTATAAAAAAAAATCCCAGTATATATTTCGCCATTTGTAGCCACTATAACTTTCACGTAAACCATTTTGGATGAAATTTATGACAAAAAATTTTTTTACTGGACGTTTAATAGCAAAAGCTCAAAAATATTGTTGGTTTTTTTTTGTTTTTTTTTTTTAATTGTCGGTCTTTTTTTGTTTATAGAGAAAAAAATTAAAACCACAGAGGCGAAAAAAAAGGACATAAATTTGTCAGTGAAAGGCGCAATTGTCAGTGAAAGTAACACAGCGCCGTATAGCAAAAAATGGCCTGGTCAGGAAGCGGGGTAAATCCTCTGGGGGGCAAGTGATTACACATTATAGTCTTGTTATAATGTTTTTTAAATATATTCTTCAGATTTTTTTTATATATAATAAAGTAATTTTTACATATAATACCAAAAAAGTAGATTTGTATTTTTAAATACGGTATATTTGAAATGTATTTTTAAAAATATTTTTCATATATTTTGTAATAAAAACACATTTCAACATGATATATATATAGATAGATAGATAGATAGATAGATAGATAGATAGATAGAGAGATATATATTTTGAAATATATTGAATATGGCCAAAATTTTAGTATATCAAATATATTTTTCTTCCATGTCGTTCACATCTCCGCGATTTCACCCGGTGCGTTTTTTGGAGTCAGCCTCGGTTCACACTGATGCAGTGCAGCACAACACATATGCATTCCTGTGCAAATCACATGCAATTTCTGTGCAGTGCAATTTGAGTCATACATTTTATATGGCTCAAATCGCACCGCATCCACACCAATAAAATAGCAGGACCCTTTTTAGTCCACACCAGAATCGGATCGCATGGGTGTTCGCACCCATGTGATCCAATTCTGCACATTGCACTGCATTTTGCAAACTGATTTTAGGGTGTAGTTAACTTAAAATACACACCTGCAGTGGTTCGTATGAACGGGGTGCGATTATGATGCGGTGTGGAAATCGCACAGAAACCAATGCAAATTTCACACTGCATCAGTGTGAACTGATGCTTACAGACTTTTTTCCATGCAAAACGTTGCGTTTTCGGTTCCATAGACTTCAATGGAGACACTGCAGAAAAGTGTGTTTTTTATGTGTTCTTATGCGTTTTTGATGCGCTTTGCTCTTTAATCTGCCCAGCAACAAGTTGGAAAAAATGCAAAACGCATGCAAAAACCCAAAACGTTCCACAAAAAGCACTGCAGAAATGTATCAAACGCAAACTGCATACATGTGAACCTAGCCTAAAGCTCCATTCACACCAATGTGTTTTTTAGTACTTTTTTCAGCAATGCACTACAGTCCATTTAACATGGTTTCCTATGGAACGTGTTCACATTCCTAGATTGAAAGCTCTGAGCATCAGGCCCTCCTAACCCTCTTGTATAGAACTGTATTGTTGCTGTATTGTCTCCCGTTATATTGTAAAGCGCTGAGCAAACTGTTGGCGCTACATAAATCCTCTATAATAATAATAATAATAATCTATGCTTTTTTGAGCCGCTGCATTTTTGGAAAGTGGTGGGGACTTTTTTAAAAGCCAAAAGCAGCATTTTTGCTACAGTACAGTTCAATGGAGAATCTGCTGAAATGCACGGTAGTGTGTATATGCTGTGTTTTTGCTGCATTTTTATTCTGCCCAGCAAGAAAAAAAATTCCACTATAAAAAAAAAAAATGAAGAAAAAGTAAAACGTGGTAAAACCGTATCAAAAACGTATCAAAAACACAAAACGAACTGCAAAAAGTACTGCAAAATGGACAAAAAGCAAACTGCATAGGTGTGAACAGAGCCTAAGAAATGATTAATTGCGGTCTTAGCATCACGCTGGGTACATTTATTACAAGTCACCTTTCAAGGTATTTATTGCTCCTTCCAATGTTTGTTTTCACCAGTACACACAACTGCGGCATGTTGATTTTATTTATCAAGCCGTGTCATGTGAGCAGCCCATCTCTATTAAAAAGCCCCAACCTTTTGTCCTCCTGCAGCACCGTGGCTCCGTTAATGAATAACCCTGGCATAATGTTACTTCCAGTATTATTAATCTTCTTGATGAACTCCTCCGTGAATTTTTCTAACCTTAAAAAAAAAAAAAAAACCTCCCTTGTAGAGGACAAGAGCTTACTGCAAGCTGTCGCATCCTGCTGCCGGCCATGCATAACCCGTAGTAGGCATTGTTAGCCACCATTGCTGAACTGCTCTTGAAAATGATAGCGTGGATTTTATTCAGACCCTCCGGCTTTCTGAGTCACTGGCTCAGTGCTACTATCCGAGAATGTCAGAGGAAAGTCGATAATATTTATCTGCACATTTGTACTCCAGGATTGCCAGACAATTGGTATTTTCAGAAGGAAAGGTCAGCAATGGCAGCCTCCATTAAGTCTGGAGTGCATCACTTGGAGTAATTATTCCCCTTTGTTGGTGTCAGTGGTAGGAATGATGATCCATCATTTGTGACGGTGGGAAGAATTATGTTTCATTGTTGGTGTCAGTGGAAGAAATTATGTGCCATTGTTAGTGTCATTGGGAGGAATTCTATCCCATTTTTGGTGTTAGTGAGAAGAAATATGCCCCATTGTTGATGTCAGTGGAAGGAATAGTGCTCCATCATTGGTGTCAGCAGGAGGAACAGTGCCCCATCATTTGTGTCAGTGAAGGAATAGTTCCCCATCGTTTGTATCAGTGGGAGGAATTATGCCCCATTGTTAGTGTCAGTGGAAGGAGTAGTGCCCCATTGTTAGTGTCAGTGGAATGAATAGTGCCCCATTGTTTGTAACAGTGGGAGCAATTATGCCCCATTGTTAGTATCAGTGGAAGGCATAGTGCCCCATTGTTGGTGACAGTGGAAGAAATTATGTCCCATTGTTAGTGTCAAGTGGGAGAATTCTACCCCATTTTTTGTGTCAGTGTCAGTAAAAGGAAATATGCCCTGTTGTTGGTGTCAGTGGAAGGAAAGTGCCCCATTGTTGGTATCAGTGGGAGTTATTATGCCCCATCGTTAGTGTCAGTGGAATGAACAGTGCTCCATCATTGATATCAGTGGGAGGATTTATGCCCCATCATTGGTGTCAGTGGGAGGAATTACACCCTATGGCCGGTGTCAGAGGGAGAAACTATGCCCCATCATTGGTGTCATTGGAAGGAATAGTGCCCCATTGCTGGTGTCAGTTTGAGGAATTATGTCCCGTGTAGTCCTTCCATGTGCTCCTTGCTGTGAAGGCCAGTTATAGACTGGGGCAGTGGCCATTTTTTGTACATGATCAGCTCCCAGCAGCTTCAGGGGAGAGGAAGGACAGCTGACAATGAATGCCCATAGTAAGCCTATAGGTGAAGCCACCAACCAAAACAATCCATCCAATATCTGCGCTCTCCCCTCGCCCCAGAAGCAGTGGGGGCTCCTAAAATTGGAGAGTTAGGAACTACAGAGTACTGGGGTGCTCTGTAGCTTACGCATGTATTTGCAAATGTATGCTAACTAAACCCCTGTTTTTAATGCATACTTCAAGACAGGTATATTTGGTTTGTTTGCAGGCTGGTTGGCAAGTTAGAGTTGGGAATTTTTCTGTTTTGTTGTTTGACATGCGTCCAGGGGCGGACTGACAACTCATGGGGATCATGGGGCCCCTGTGTCCTTGCCCAAACTCAAAAAAGCCTATGAGAAAGGTAACAGGGGCATCTCATGGGGCCCCCTACTGATCCCGGGCCCTTGGGCAGTGCCCAAGTTTCCAAATGGTCAGTTCGCCCCTGGTCCCATCATTAGTGTCGGTGGGAGGAATTATTCCCATCCTTGATGTCAGAGGGAGGAACTACGCCCCAATGCTGTTGTCAGAAGGAGAAACTAGGCCCCATTGATGGTGACAGTGGGAGAAAGTATGCTCCAAGAGCAGGGTAAAGCTAAGCAAAGGGCTAAATCTGGTCCAAAGGCTGGGGATCACTGAGATTGTAAGCCAGAAAAACTTTTGCTGGACCACAAAATATTTGGCACACGAAAACCTGCTTTTTTGATTTACCACATAACAATGAACAATGCAACTAGTGCGGCCGCTGTATAA